AGAAAAAACATATAAAAAGAGGAGCCAAAGCTAGCTCGCTCTCGCTCCTGCGTGCTGGGGCGCTCTTCTCTTCGCGTCTTTGGATCGACGTGCCCTCATGCCTTGAAGATGGATTTTCCTGCTATCTTCTAAATAAAATAGAGCTGTAACATGGAGCTGTAATACTGATTTATCTAAGAGCTATAACACAGCCCGCTGGAGACCTGAGAGCTATAACACGGTCTGTCCAAGACCCGAGAGCTGTAACACGCGGAGGGGGCTTCAATGTCCGTCACTCCAAATATTTGTTGTGACGAGACAAAAACCGAGGAGCAGACACTCGCCTGACACCTGAACGTGTGCTCTGCAATAAGAGAATGCACTGCAATGAGGAGCCCGTGTACCGCAGCAAAGAGTAGCCCCCACTCACCACAGCTAGAGAAAGCCCACACACAGCAGCAAAGACCCAGTGCAACCAAAAATAAATAAATAAATACTATATAAAAAGAGAAATAGTAATTATACACCTGCTGGAGGCATTAACTAACTCTATGGTGTAATCATTTTGCAATATATGTGCATCAAATCAACACACTGTACACCTTAAACAATGTCGTATGTCAATTAAATCTCAATAAAGCTGAAAAAAACGAAAAATGCTGCATATGAAATTACATTTTTCTTCCAGTTTATCTACATAAACATTTTGAGTCCATGTAGATTATAAGAACTTTTTGACAATTAGAATTCTTTGAAATACATGGGCACCCTCACTGGACTTACTGTACCGGGAATTCCAGAAGATTATCCTAGATGATCTCTGAGGTTCGTTCCAACCCTATGACATTGAGCCATGTGTCAAAATTAAACACATTTGGGGGATATGCATGCACGCGTGCTAAATCACTTCAGTTGTGTCCGACTTTGTGCAACCCTAAGGATGGTAACCTGCCAGGCTCCTCTGGCCATGGGATTCTCCGGGCAAGAATACTGGAGTGGGTTGCCATGCCCTCTTCCAGGGGGTCTTCCCCACCCAGGGATGGAACTCACAACCTGCATCTCTCACATCTCCTGCACTGGAAGGCGGGTTCTTTATCACTAGTGCCACTTGGGAAACACTTGGAGGAATGTAGAGGAAGGTAGTTGAATTTTACAGGCAAATAATCATTATCAGCTGTGGCTGTTTTAGGTCTAGGCTGAGTAGAGTACAGTGAAACTATTGTGTGTCTATGGATAAGTCTGAGATTTTCCTAAGAAGGAGGCAAGATCTGAGTAGATTTTCGAGATTGTAAATTCAAGTCCTGAATACTGCAAAGGGAGTCACTTCAGTACAATATTGTGGAGAATCTGAATATTGCAAAAGTGAAGTGAAAGTCACTCAGTCATGTCCAGCTCTTTGTGACTCCATGGACTTTACATTCCATGGGGAATGTAAGCCAGAATGCTAGAGTGGAGAGCCTTCCTCTTCTCCAGGGGATCTCCTCAACCCAGGGATTGAAACCAGGTCTCCCACATTGCAGGCAGATTCTTTACCAGCTGAGCCACAAGGGAAACCCAAGGTGGGTAGCCTATCACTTCTCCAGGGGATCTTCCCAACCCAGAGATCAAACTGGGGTATCCTGCATTGCTGGCAGATTCTTTACCAACTGAGCTATTAGGGAAACCCTGAGCATTGTAAAAATCAGAGCTAAAAGGGAAGAAATCCTAAAGTAGGCTTATTGAATAAAATATACATGCCTACCATAGAAGGGGTGAGGGTTTGAGGAACAGGAGCTGATGAACATTAGGCAATTATAATGCAGGATATCCTGGGAAATAATTTTGAAACATCAGGTGAAAATTTTAGACCTGTACATTATAAAGGGGAGGGAAAGCACAGTCAAAGCAATGACAGGAAGAGGTATTTTTGTTTTAGTGAATTGTTTGGTGCTAAAGGTGAGGAATCTCAAAAGAAAAGGCTAGTAGCAGGAGAATCCAGCAGAAAGATGACCCAGATATTCATACAACTGTAGAGAAAGCAATATGGACTAATATGGGAGATAATGTAAGACTGGCAATACCCTGGAAATCCAGATCAGTCAAGACAGGGATCAGTGAAGCACTGCCTACCCGTTCCTTGCCTCTGAAAATTGTGGTATTCTATTACAGGGAAGGTCAAGATGAGTATCTTTGTCTTCTGTGTGCCTTGTTGATGATGGTGGGTTTGATTTTTCGTGCCATGCCCTGGCCATTGCTCAGGTGAGGCTGTCCCTATGCTACTGTGCACCATGCACTCTACTTTTTTTTTTTAATCTGGTTTCTGTACCTGCCTGGTCTTCATCTGGCTTTTGCACTTGTCTGGAGTTCACAGCTGCCTTTAATTCAGCTTGAGCTAGTACTACTCGGGATTGTTTTAAGCGTTTCAATTATTTCAAGTGTGTAATTCTCAGGTGAGTCACTTGGGCTTGATTTTATTGAGATGAAATAGTGTCCCACACCTAAGTAAGTAGGTTTCTCCCTGGTCTATTGCTCCTCACCCCCATTCTGAAAATTCCCATTTCACTTTGAAAAATATCTCTTATATTTGCCTTAGTTTTGTGCTCCATCGTGTGTGACTTTTTGCAATCCCATGGACTATAGCCCGCTAAGCTCCTCTGTCCATGGGATTCTCCAGGCAAGAATACTGGAATGGGTTGCCCCTCCTCCACCGACATCTTCCCAACCCAAGGATCGAACCTGCATCTCATGCATCTCCTTTATTGACGGGCAGATTCTTGACCACTGAGCCACCTGGGAAGCCCTTGCCTAAATCTAGGCAGGATCTTAAGAATCTATGGTAGAGGAATCTTCATATGCTAAACAAAAGTAGTATTTCACATATAATAGTTCGCATGTGCAGGTACTGGTGATGATCAGGTAGGGATACCTAATAAAGTGATATATGATTCCATGTGTTTTTATTGATAGATTGGTGTTTTTGTTTTTAGTTAAATGCAAGGTGTCAGGTGGTGGCGGTGGGTGGCTCACCTGAATAAATACTGTAGAATTTGTCCCATGATCTAAACATATAACATTTGAAAAAATTAGGCCTGGAAATTTGATGAACTTCTGAAAACATTACATTTTTTTTTGTACTAATAGTGCTTTTTATATGCCAAATACTGTTTTAAGTGCCTTATTTTACAATAACCAATTTAATTCTCACAACAGCCTTATAAGGTAGGTACTATTGCTATTACCATCACATCACAGATGAGGAACTAATGCACAAAGAGGTTAAATATTTGTCTAAGAACAAAAAGCTAACAAGTAATCAGAGCTCAGTTTTGAACTCAAGCAGTCTGGCTTAAGTGCCTGTCCTTAACCACTGCACTATATTATACCCATCCATTGCAAACTGTTAAAGAATTAGCAGAGAACACAGACGCATCTCCAAGTGACATTCTCTCAGATAATAAAAATCAAACAACAAAACACATTCTGGCTCTATGATCACCTTTATCCCTTATCAGTGATTTCTTTTTTTTTGCAAACACCTTGGGAATTAAAAAGAAAAAAAAGTATTTAAACACAGGAAAACTTTGATCCAAATGAAAAATTCATATTGTATCCAGTGCTAAAGCACAGTGTTTCTTTTACCATTTGGTGGGCAATTTCAGCTATTTCTGGTGATACCCTGGATGGCAATGGAATAATTTCATAGAGCTTTTATTGTTAATGGTTCATATTTCATCCTGTTCTATGAAAGATATGCAAAGGAGAGCTCTTCCACCTTTCCCCCTGGACCTTATCTTCCCAGTGGTTATTTTGTTGGTCTTTGCAATAATTCCTATACTCTGCTTTCAAGCAAATTTTCAGTAAGTTACCTCCAATAACTGATACTTTTAATAAAGGACATAGGGAAGCTAATTGAATACCTAAAAATAATTATCAAGTACTTTTAAGAATGTAAAAAACTGAATATTAAGATGCAAGAGTGTGCAGTGAGGGGGAGGTAAGTGAATATACAAATATATGTCTGCATGCCTGCGCTTTAAAAACACTTTTCTGTCTGAGTCACTCTCTTTAGACAATTTAAGCAAAAGATAAGTAAGTTCTGACTCAGAAACAGGGTCAAAGGTAATTTTATTTTTCTCCTTTGTCATCAGAAGAAGACCTGACCACGTGCACTGTATATAAAGCATGCCGGTGTGAAGGTTAGCTTTACAGACAAGCGACGTAAGGGTAATAGAACACATACGTTGTTAGATGGTAAGGAAGTTCAAGAGGACTTCATGATAATTTAATAGGAGGAATCGGGTTATAACTGCTTCCCCAATGAGATTGTAGAGTACAGACAACCAAGGTGAGTGCAACTTCCCATCATGAAATAATTTCAAAAAAATTACAGTGAAATAATTTCAAAAAATTACAATGAAATAATGTACTTTATTATGTTCACATAAATTTTATATCATTTAATTTTGACTGTATGTCTGCTGCCGACACGGGTGTTTAAAGGAATCCTCCAGGGTATTTTAGACAGCCTCACCTGGATGGCAAGCATCAAACTTCTTGTGTTTTCCATCCCAGCTGAGTCGGCTAAAGAATTGTGCACCTGGGGCGCTCAGGGCAACTGATTGATTTGACAGGTGGAGGTGGGACAGGGAAACCTTTAAACCGACCGACCCCCCAAAAGGCAGTAAGCGCGTTGAACCGAACTTGGGAGGGGTCGGCTAAGGTGGATTCGGACGTGGGAGGCCGAGTTGCAGCGAAAGAACAGAAGGGCGGAAAGACCTGAAGCAGCTGTAGACGTGCCAAAGAGGTGGGTACCGGGGGTGGCGGTGGGGGTGGACCCACCCTGCGAGGAGGCGGGGGCGCGCGGGAGGGGCGGGGCGGGGCGGGGCCGCCGGGAAGCCCGCCCACTGAGTAGCGGAGATGACTGGTCGGGTTGCGGGCAGGAGACGCTCTGTCCCACGCTCTCCCAGTGCTCGGTGGTTTAAAGATGGCGGCGGCGGCGGCAGCGGCAGCATTGGGGGCGCGGAGCCGCGGGATGGGAAGGGAAAAGGAGAACCTGTGAGGCGTCGGGAGGCAGCGCGGCGCCTGCTGTGAGAAGTCGGGTGCGGAGCCGCAGGCGGCCGGACCGCTCAGGGCCGGGGCCTGGGTTGGGAAGGAGAGGCCGAAGCAGCGCCTGGACCCCGAGGCCGGAGCCGAGGAGGAATGTGACCAGGGGTCGTCGGGGGCGCGGGAGTAAGCGAGCGCAGGGATGGGGCAGCAGGTGGGCCGCGTCGGGGAGGCTCCGGGGCTTCAGCAGTCGCAACCCCGCGGGATCCGGGGCAGCAGCGCAGCCAGGCCCTCCGGTCGCAGGCGGGACCTGGTGGGGCGCACCGCAGAGGCCGGCTTCAATATCTTCACCCAGCATGGTGAGTGTGTCCGGGAGCCGGCGTGAGGGCGTGGGGGAGGCCGGAGGTGGAGTTGGGGCGGGGTGGAAGGCAGACAGGCAGCCCTAGGGGGTCGAGCGGGTGGAGGGGTGCCCGAGAGTGGGGGCGGAATCGGCTGCCATCTGGGCCAGTCACGGGAGGCGAGTCACACCCCTCCCCCCTCCCGTCTCCAGCCTGGCTGGCAGCTCCCGGGGGCGGAGGAGGAAAGAGAAGTGGTCTTAGGGATCTTGGACTGTCGTCTACACTGGACACGACTGTGCGGCTCGGGGTTTGCGGGGGGACGGTGCATGGTATCCTTAGGGGAGAGGAGACTGAAGGGAGGTGTGAGCTTAATCCAGGTGTTAGCATAAATCGGTTGTTAGCGAGGGGACCGTGAATTGTGCCTTGAGGGATTGGGAAATAGGAACTGAGTCTCAGGAGGTAGTGCCCTGGGAAGTAGACGTACCAGCCAGGCAATGAGCGGTGTTAGGATAGTGAACACTGCCCTGAAGTCCCCTTCTATGGGAAAGGTAAGGATAGTAACTCAGCATTTGAATTTTTTTTAATCTTTCAAAGTGGAAGTGAAGGGTTTTGCCAGACCATCCTCTGTTCTGCTCTTTTTGAGTAGAACTCAATTCTGAGATGGCTGGCAGGGGTTTGACGTTGGTGGGCATACTTAGGACTTTGGGTAGGAACAAGAGTTTTTCTGCCTGTCATGTGTGCATGTATTCAAATATATCCTCTCTATGGCCTGGAACCTATTACTTTGGCCTCATATCAAGGTATTTTTAAGTTGTCTCCAACTCCAATTTTTAGTATATCTTGATCATATACTCCAAGAATTTATGTTTGTCCCACTGTACTAATCTGTAGCTTACAAATGTACACAGAAGCAGAATTTAAGAAAGGATGAGATGAAAAAATAAACAAGAGTTCTAATATATTCTTTCCTGCAGTCCAGGAAAGAATGGACTTTTTTGCACTGGTCTTAGCTGCACCCACACCTTTTGAAGCCACTTGTCTAAAGGAAGAAGGGAAAAAACTGACCTTCATGGAGTTGAGATACCCTGAGATATGAGGGAGGCTGAAGAAATAGATGTGACTTCCATATAAAGGACTGGATAGTTGAGGTTGGCTGCGGCAGCAAACTGGACTTTCCCTGAACAGGCATAAGGAAAATAATAAAAGAGAAAAGAAGGTTGTTCTTTTCTGCATAGTGTAGGGAAGAAGAGGAAGGAAATGTGAACTGTTCCTTAGAAATGGAGCTTTGGAGGAAGTGAAGACAAATGGTCTTACGCAGAGAAAGAGATGGTGAGTTGTATCAGAGATCTGGGTTTGGACTTCGTGAACAAGCTGAGTTTCTTAATGGAAGAGAGATAGGTGATTTGGGCCATTCAGGTGTTACATGTCTACTATTAAAGATGTGAGTGAGCCTCTCTTCCAGAGATATGAACATTTTATGAAGGTGCCATATAAGTTAGTCTTTATTGAAATCACTTCCTGCATTGCAGGAGGAAAGAATGGGTAAGTAGTTTTCAGGGAAGAAATGTTCCACGTAGCTTTGCTTTGTGGAAGGTGTTAGTATGTATTAAACTTGGTGCTGTAGGCAATGGTGATCCTCTTCCTTTAGTTTCTATTCAAGAACTAAGATTTTCTGAGAAGGAGGAGGTCATGAAGAAGGGAATAGGAAGAGATTTTGAAGGGTGGATAGGATTTGGATCTATGGAGCAAGAAAAAGGGCAGGCTGTGCAGGAGAAACAACTTAAGTGTGGACAATTGAAATGAACCTATTTTGTTGATGAAATAGTGGGTGGACATCTGTCATGAATGAAGTAAATCTTCCAGGAGTGAATCCTTGAACAAAAATTGCAGGAGCTGATCTGGCTTCACCTGGCTGGGTGATTTAGCCACTTACTGTCCTTGGGTTTCTTGTTAAATGTTAGATTAGATGATCTCCAAGGTACCATCTGACTCTTAAGATATTATGATTCTAATTGAGAAGCAGTGGGAAGAAGACTTTGATTACGTTTGGTTATGGACTGAGTTATTGAAAATGTGGCAGAGAAGTTTATATCCTTTCACTTGATTGGTTAGTAAATAGGATATGTAAAGAAACCTAAGTATGAGGTGCTCAGAGACTTGGCCTTGAGTGGAGGCAATGAAAACAGGTGGGGTGAGTTTGAGAGATACTTCATTCAACAAACAAGTTTTTTGAGCACCTATTATGTACTGGACTCTGGGGATGCTGCTGTGACCATAACAAGGTCCCTGTCCTTTGTGGATCTTAAGGATTTTATGATCTGATACAGAGGATGAAAGAAGAGAGATGACTTTGGAATACTTAAGGTTATGAACTCTGGAGCCATTCTGTCTGGATTTGAAACCTGACTTGACTGCTTATTATCTGTAACCCTGGTCAAGTTATTTAACGTTTTTGTGCCTTGGATTCTTCATTTGTAAAATGAGTATAATAAGAATACCTGGTAATAATAGTACCTAGATTAATGAGTTAATGTATGCAAGGCACTTAGAATATGCTTGGCATGTAGTAAGGGCTGCATATGTTTTGGTCTGGCCATTACTCCTCCTCCTCTTATTAAAAATAAGGATGAATCAAAGAAGATTTTGAAATTGGTTTTATTGACAAGTTTGGAAGTTAGAAGTTGATTGAAAAGATGGGAACATGGTAAATTTGTTGCCAGAGACTAGTATGTAAAGAATAGAATTGGCAAATAATAGGTAAACAAAGGAGAAGTGAGTACTATTTTTAGACAGATGGGTATTTATAAACTTCTATAGCTCAGAGTTTCTCAACTTGTGCAGTATTGACATTTTGAGGTGGATAATCCTTAATCATGGGAGCTGTCCTGTGTTTTGTAACGTGTTTAGCATCATTCTTGGCCTCTACTAACTAGAGGCCAGTAGCACCTCTCTGGTAATCCCCACCCTCTCCTGTTGTAACAACCAGAAATGTTTCCAGACACTGCTGGATTGCGCCTAGGTGAGAACCAGTGCTTAGAGACACATGATAAATTCTGGTGTGAATGAATAAATTGAGTTAGATTCAGAAGCTGCTTAGTGGACCTATTGTTTGACATTTACACAAAAAACCTGGCAACTAGTGTGCAAATCACTGTCTTGAATTTCAGTATTGATGTATTAGCACGTAATTTCATGTATGAAAGCTAGGCCTGACAGACTGTTGAGTTTACATGTAGGTTTAAATGTAGATTAAATATTGTATGTGGTCAGAAATGTATGTACATTATAGAAATGCTTTACCAGAGTCCAGAGTCCATGATTTTTCGGTATTTTCTCATTGAAAATGAGAATAGTTTTTTTTTTTTATTAAAATGTAAGTTGTTATAATAACTTGCTTTGCTGAAAATGCTTTTTGTGAATGTAATGTGGAAGGAATAAAAATAGTTGGGCTGTTTTTGGTATGAAAGAGAGGTGAGTACTGTGACTTTTCTGAACTCTGTTATTGAACCTTTTCAGTGAGCTGACATTTCATGATTGGTAATTTAGGGTTGAATACATTCCTTTTTTTAATATCTGACATACCTCGCAACAATTGAGTGATTTCACTTCAACTTTACTTTCTTCTCTCACTCATTTGCTGTAAATGCTATTAAAAATAAACCTTAAGTTGTGAAGTTTTGAATAATAAAATTTTTCCCTTTTTAAATCAGGCTCATTTTAAGTGGTCTCATTTATTTATTTAGGATCTGTAGTTCATGTTTTATTATTTGTAGAATGAAAGACATAAGCACCACAGGTTGACAGTGATGCAGTAGAAAAGAACAGGAAGGCTGTTTGCAAGGGAATTTTAACTATGGTGACCTAGTATAGTGGTCACTGATTCTTACGAGAACTAAACTTTTAAAAGTAAGTCAGCTATTACATTTTTATTAACCCCCATATCTGTGTAAGATACAAGTATATAGTTGTATGTGTGTGTATTTTTAGAAAAGTAACAATAATTTGTGGCACAGATTCTTTTATTACAGCCCAATTGACAGTAAGGTCACAGGTAAATTTTGAAATCTGAAGTTTCTCCTAAGGGTCTTCAACTTGCTTTAATAAGGAAATAAAAGCCAAACAAAAGAAAAACCAGTATCTTTCCCGCTTCTTATCCCTATACTGTATCATTTTCTTTCCTCTCTTCACTCTTTTCTATCAATGTCAGTAAGGATGAGGATAATTTATATTTGTGTAGTTTTTTAAAGAGTTTATGAACACCTTTTATGTCCTTTATCTTGTTTTGATCTTTACGGTTATAATTGGCCCTTGAAATACATGGGTTTAAACTTCGAGAGTCCACATGTAGGCAGATTTTTTTCAATAAATATGTACTGTAGTTTTATTGCGATAGGTTGAATCCACAGATGCCAACCCCAGATATGGAGGACCCACCTGTAAAGTTATAAGTGGATTTTGACTTCTTGGAGGGTAGGTACTCCAACCCCCAAGTTGTTCAAGGATCAACAACTGTACTCTGAAATAGGTGAGGACAGATTCTAATCTTCCCATTTTATAGATGCAAAGTAAAGAGAATTGAGTGACTTCCCAAGTATTTCAGCACAGAGCTCTTTACGTTACGGTGCTGAAACTCAAGCCTTTGCCTCCACATCTTGCCATTGTGTAGAGATTTAAAGAACATAAGTTTTAAAATTAGGTAGAATTGGATTCAGATGTTGCCGTGTCTTACATTAGTAAGTGGTTATAACACCAACCATAACAGTTGAATTAAATAATAAAATTTTGTAAGGCTCGTAAGTAATAAATAGTAGTTTTGTTGTTGGCACTGTTATTTACCTCAAAATCATTGTGAAATTATGAGTCACATGTGAAAATGTTGTAAGCTGTCATAAAGCATTCTGAAGTGTAGAATTGTCTTAGTATTTACATTTTAAATCTGTTTTCTCTAAGTCTGTTTTTCTCTCAAGTGATCCTTGATTATTAAGGGACTTTAAGAAAGCAGCAAAAAGATAGGGAAGTTT